AGCCACCAGAAGGAGACATGATATGTTTGGAATGTTCGCGTAGCCTATAACACAGTGAAGCTTGAGCTCCGAGCAGAGGCCACAAACCAGTTGGGCTGGTCTCTTGCCATTAATCATAATGGCCTTATGATACTGAAGCTTGAGCTTGTATAGGAAATTGGCACTTCAAATCAAGTGGCATGATGCCTGCGGCCTGCTACAGGCCACAGCTAAATTACACTGGCTGCACGATTGCTGCCTGCCGGACTCCGGAGTCTGGTTCATGAAATGAAGACATACAAAACTTGCAAATCAAAAACGTTTGCCTGATCCAACCTGATCGGCGCTGGCTCCGAAAGCGCAGAATTCGTCCATTATCTTCCATGAAGCCCACAACTTGCTCAATAATCGTCTCTCGCTCCCTGAACGCCCTCCAGCGCCATACTGAAAGGAGGCCACCCCGACTGTCCGGGAACTTGGGAGGTGTAGTTTGTCGCAGAATCCATGCTGCCCGCCTGATTGGGCTTCTTCCAGTTCCGGATCGCGCGCCTCGGACCGCAGAAGATATGCGGCTTCGAATTAAGAACTTATCTCCAGCAGATTTGGGGTTGAGGAGTGGAGACTTTGGGTATAAATATATATATACATATTTCTGTATATGAGCCATGCGTTAAATTCCTTCAATTATATAGGGGTTTAAAGTTTATATAGGGGACTCTATAGGGGTTATTAAGGGGGATACCAGGAGTTTAAACTACAGCCCATGTAATGTAGGTCTCACAATGGGCCCAACGCTGCCAGTTTGGAGCCTATCTGCCGCAGATAGGGACAGCTTGCCGCAAAGGACTGCACAACAGCCTACAGTCCCCCCTAAGTAGATAGAATACGGGGTATATACGGATCCTATTATAATATACCCAAAGTCATATTCTATCTACTTAAGGGGTACTATAGTTCTAGCGCTCCACTTTTGATCAAGTCCGGACCTTGAGGCGGATCTTAGAAACTGAATATGGGGATTTCCCAAAATTAGGGGTACCTTTCTGGGGTCCCCAGGATTATTGTATTTTGGGGTCTATATTGGGGTCCCCCTATTTTGATAAACTACCATATCAACCTTGAACGCCTTCAGTGTAGCTGTTAATGTCACGTAGGCTCGCCTTGAACATCTCGCCTCGCTTCCCAAGCCACCGCCCTGTAGCTCTAGCACGGTACGCGGTCAGTCATCTTCAGTGCCTTAGCTACCTACTTACACTTACATTCATAGCGGGTATACAAACGGATCCGATATTGACACTGGCCAACTATCTGGTCCAGTGTCATTACTTTGACCATGTCAGAATGCTTCTACGTGCGGCTGCGCTCATAGTTAGGACCTGGGAAGAAGCTGGCAATCCAAGCAGGCACAGGAATCACTGTTCGGCTATGGCAGCATCAGCCACACGGATCATGATGAATAACCTGACTCATAGACTTCTTGACCTGAACCATGATTGGCGTGCTGCAGGCTGGAGGCCCAGAGCAACCCCCATGCTTTTTGAGGTTGTAAAACGATGTGGGCTGGGAGACCAGGAGCAAAACCACCTTTTGTATCACTGCTCTGCGTAGGCTAAACTCCAAATCTACAAACCTACTCATGACGAGGCCGAAACATCTCAGAGATGATTCCAGACATGGCCCTCCATTATGACACTGCCATTCAGGCCAACTGGAGCTCATCACCAAACATCAACAAGAACTTTCAGAACTACCAGGTTCTACAGTTTCTACAGGCGTGAGTAGGCGGGCCCTGCTTGAGGTGTCTAACGGAGGAGGTGGCTGCTTGTCGCAGGCCCTGGTCCTTGCAGCTTATGCCCAAACTCATTCTCATCCGAAGGTAGACATGATTTAGGTCTGCCACGCACTTGCCATCAGGATGACTTCAGCTGCAATCGTAAAAAAGGGAATCGCAAACCACACAGCTCCAAGCATCACGCCGCATCTGGCGAAGTACAATGGTAGAGTGCTGTCATGAAATAAGTTATAATGCCCGTCACTACAATCCTGTTCGCCCCTATTCTCAGGCTGGGTACTGCGTGTATCAATACCATGACTTTTTTCGGCACATTGCATTGTCGGCAAGTTTCAGGATTCACGTGCTTCATGGAAGTACTGTTGCTGCAGATGCCCACCTTCAAAGCCTTCTACTATCACTTCGACAGCGTTTGTTTTCCTGCTGCTGCTATGAGTACTGAAGTCATCACTGCCTGGATGAGTACCAGTACTTCTGTTTAGTACCAGCGTTTGCATCACTATCTGTGCTACAGTTCATAATTATGTGTGCGTGCATTTGCTTTTCTTGGCATTGTTGACAGCAATAGTCGAATTTACTGCTATTGCCGTCATCAACGCGTCAACACTTTGACAACTTCTACGGCTACAGTATGTACAATGTTTTTTTGGAGGTACTATTCCTGGCTGTACTGGGTTTAAGGTTTAGGGTGTAGGGGCATTGCGCGCACTCGAGGTATTCCAGTGTTCGGATGCACATTTGAGCCGAATGTTCTTTTGCTGTCATCATAGTCCACATCCTCCTTCCTGTGCCTTTGCAGATGTACAACATTTCTAAAAACACATACACATGAAAATACATATATGATAGAAATGACACACCAATATACATATATATATATATACTCACGAATATCTTTAAGGAACTCTTCTACACTAACAAAAACCCGATAATCAAAGACCCTACTTCGCATATCCCTGGTCCCTATAAATCCCTCATATAACCCCAGTGTCCATTTGGTGTTCCATATACCTTTCCTTTTGATTTTCCAAATACTGGGGCCTACATCCTGCCATACTAAGGCATGCAGAAGGGAGCTGACCTTGCACCCTAAACCCTAATCCCTGAACCCTAAACCCTAAACCCTAGACCCTGAACCCTAAACCCTCAACTCTAAACCCTGAACCCTAAACCCCCAGCCCTCAACCCTAAACCCTGAACCCTAAACCCTCAAGCCTAAACCCTAAACCCTGAACCCTTAACCCTTAACCCTGAACCCTTAACCCTAAACCCTTACTACGGCGTGCGGAAGGACCGAGAGCTGAGATTGCTGTTCTCACGAACCACCGAGCCGAGCCGGAGCTGGGGGGCATTCGGCTGCTCCTGGGCAGCAGCACCGGTTTAGGGTTTAGGGTTTAGGGTTCAGGGTTTAGAGTTGAGGGTTTAGGGTTCAGGGTCTAGGGTTTAGGGTTTAGGGTTTAGTTCCCCTTAAGTAGATAGAGTTTTGGATTTAGGGGGTTAAGGGTTTAGGGTTTAGGGGTATGATCCCACTTAAGTAGATAGAATACGGCTTCGGGTATATTATAATGAGATCCCCAGATACCCCGTATTCTATCTACTTAAGGGAAACTAGTTTAGATAGGTAAATAGCGCATATATGGGGCTTATAAAGGGCTTAGGGAATGCAAAAGCAAATGGAAACTACTACAACAGGGTATATATTCAGGTTATATAGGTTTAGGGAAAAAGAAAATGGAAGCTATTACCAGTTGGGTAAATATTAGGGTTGGATAGGGTTTGGGTTGTAGGGTTGAGGGTTAGGGTTGAGGGTTAAGGGAATGGAAAACAAAATGGCAACTATTGTAGATAGTTAAATAGCGTGTATACTGGGGCTTTATAGGGTTTAGGGACTAGAAAAGAAAATGAAAACTATTATAATAGTGTATACTTTAAGGTTATATAGGTTTAGAGGATGGAAAAGAAAATGGAGACTATTGTAAGTAGCGTATATATTGGGGTTATATAGGCTTTGGGGAGCAGGGTTTTGGGAATGGAAAAGAAAATGGAAACTAGTATCATGGAGAATCGAATGAAAAATGCCTAGGAAATTGCTATAGGAAAATTCTGGCTACCGTAAGGGTTTAGGGCTCCCGGCTTGAGGTTTAGAGATTAGGGCTTGGGGGTTAGCAGTGTAGAGACTGCGAAAAGGGATCAATTGAGGTTTCGGTTTCGGGCCGTAAAAGAAGAGATTTTTGTTGGGAAGCCTTCATGTCCGGAACCCCACAGCCTGGCCACACCCTTAAGGGTACTAGGGTACCAAAAACAATGACCATGCTTTTGTCCAGCCATAGAGAAAGTCTCAGGAGTCTGGGGTCATAGTTCTGCAGAGATTTGAGGATTTTCCCAAGTACCTTCTCGGGGGTCCCCATAAGAAGGATCATAGCATTTTGGGGTCTACTTGGGATTCCCGTTATTTTGGGAAGCTACCATTTAGTGTGTGGGGTTGAAACGATGACTTCGAGCTGGGGATTCGGTCACCTTTGAAGGATGGCTTGCACTGCCAGAGGTGGGCAGTCCTTTCGTGGAACATATATAGGGGTTTCCGAAAGTTCCCCATAATAAGGACCATAGTATAATAGGGTCTATATTGGGGTCCCCCTATGTTGAAAAACAACCATATACATAAACTGAATTGAATAGGCAGTCTACAATTGAGGATTCCGGATTTGGTCTGCACACCATCAGGATGAGGGTTTTGCTGCCGCTGTTTGGATTGCAATGTTTCCTGCACTGAACTGGAAGGTCTTAACTTAAAATCAGCCACAGGATAGGGTGCCCCAGAATGTAAAGCCCTCAGCATGACGGAAAAGCCAATCTTGGAGACTAATGGGCCATTTCGAGCCACTTATCAAAGCAACCTCGCACCTTCAACGTTTGAACTTGCGAATGACAGTGTATCAAGGCCGCATTATCTGGGCTAACTGGAAAACAAATCTCGAACACGCATATGCGAACATGATCCTACGTACAAGACGAAGCAAAGTAGTTGCACGCGCGATGATGCATACCGCTTGCTACGCTCAGGCCATCGAAATATCTTGGGTGTGCTCCCTTGTTGGAATCCCTGCAATTCTTTCTAGTACATGTATATACATGTGAATACTCCGTGGAAATCAGCCAGTGACGTATCCCCCTAAAATGCCGCAGCAGCACGTCAATGGGAACTTGAACTGGCACTGCAGCGTCTTGACTACCTTCCAGCAATGGAAGTGACCAAGAAAGCAGTTGCGAAAATGCTTTTGCAAGCCATGACAAGCTTTGGCATTGCTGCTGCTGCGGTCAGTTTTTGAAACATTCAAGAGCATGCTGGGTTGATGAGATGATTGCATTTCACGATCTGGGTGCGGATGGTGGTGCTGCTGCTTCTGCTCTCGCCACCCACTTCAAACCAAGTTCACTCGCTGCAACTCAATAACCACCACTTCTTACCACATGTGCTCAATCTTCTTTGCTACCGCTCACTACTGCGAGCTACTGCATCTACTAGTACTTCGGGAAAATAATGCGATGCGCATCCTGCACTCTTCAGGCATCTGGGCGCGACACGCATGACGCTGTGCATGGCAAGCGCATAGACCGTGATGGCCGCAGCATAGGAGGTACTGGCAACCTTGTCAGACATTACAGACGGTTCAGGACAAGGGAAGGGTCCCCAGCAAACTGCTTCTACTCGCACTACTGCTTGAGCTTTTGCTTCTTTTGCTGCTTGCCACAGTTGATGGAGAAAAGCTTGTTTCACCACAAGCCTCACGGCTGGAAGGCACTGCATCTGCGCAACAATTCCAGGGTGGTGCAAAATTTGCTCCATCAACAGTACGAACACTACACTGTTAGCACCCTTCACCATGCTGATGGTCTGTTCATGCTACAACCATCATCATCATCGTCGTCATCATCATCACTGCTGCCGGCACGAAAGGATGCATGCCTGCCCCCTACCTCTACTTCCACCTGCACCTCCACCACTACTACTACTACTACTACTACTCTTCCATTCCATTCAAGCACAGCCGGTCGAGTCAGCTAGTGGACAGATACATGGCAATGGCTTAACACTGGCGTATCTAGTGAGCGAGAACCACAATGGGAGTCAATGCTACGAATAACCCTCAATGACTCCATCAACTACCATACCTCCGTCAAAACCAGTGGTCAACTATGTACCACTGTACAACGCTTTGTACAAGTGGCCTGAGAAGGCACACTAGCTCAGAATGCAGGCAACAGTGGCCAAGGATGGCACACTCCGTACCTGTGTCAAAAGTTGCTCAAGTTTGTGATTGTTTTTGTTGCTGTCAGATTCATCTGATCAGCGACTTTTTCTCTTGGGCTCGAGTCAGCGCAGCCTATCCCCTATGCTGCCCTAGTGCCCCTCTAACGTACTCTTCAGAGCAGCTCCACTGCACAGGATGAGCACATAGCACTGCTGGGACAACTGGTTGTCATGTTGAGCATCCCGACTGACAAGTCTGGCTGGCCTAGCATCATCTGTGCTCCAGTGAGCAAGGCGGCGATCACCTGCGACAAATAGTCTGGTGATGTAGTGTCCTGCACTAGGCGTAGCCCCTGCATGCGGGGTGACTGAAAGTACTTCATACTTGATGTGAGAGCACTGAAGGGAATCCCCATCAAACTCCTGCATCTGCAAGGATGGCTGCACATGTATGGGGGTGGTAATTTTACATGTGGTTCCATCTTGCATCACAAAACGTGAAATTCTGATAATGAGAATTCTTGAGGGGATCAGTGAAAGCTTGTATTCCCAGTTGTTGCATATGCCATGCAAGCACAAGATGCTGCAGGCTGAAGGGTTCATGAGCATGCGGAATATCCAGGGTTATGGCAGTTTGGGTTACAGCGCTGTGCCTGAGTTTAATTAGGCTTTGCTGCTCAATTCTGGCCTCCCATCTTCCCGCAGCTGCCTGGGGCTGGCCGACAGCAACCCAGTGTTCAAGCATCTCTCCCGAGTCATGTTGACGATGAAATTGATTCCAGCATGTCAGAATTGATCTCCATGATGCCAGGGAATGCACATGTGTGGGCCTCATGGTATGCAGCACGTCTCTCCATGCCTGAACCTTGGAGCCGAAAATTTCTTGCTCCGTGCAAACTGTACATGAGAAGGCATGCAGCAATGAAATATCAGCGGAATTCAAGTAGCACACACTAGTGCTATTGAGGAGCTTTAACTGGAGCATCCGCTGATGAGTTTCTGGAAGTCTCTGCTGCTGGTGATTGTTTGAGGCTGTCTCTGCGCCGCTGAGTTCCTATCATCTGTAGAACCGCGGATCCGGAGAATTTCTCCAGCGTGGTCCAAACTACCTGACATTGGTCCGCTCTCCCCGACACTTCCAGCTGAAAAGCTTTGACTCGGTCTGTGTTATCCTTGAAGGCCCTGTTCGCATGGAAGCGACTGATCATGTACGGTACAGCCAGAAGAGGTATTCTGCAGCATTTGAATCAGATCCGGCGTGCCCTTTGGGGCCCTTGCGTTGTCGGAAGTCAGGGCTCCCAGGGAGGTAGACCAAGTCTGGTACTGCCATCCTGCTTCCATCAGCCATCCTTGGTTTTTGGCATTTTCCAACGCCGGACCCGTCAGCTCCTGCAAGATTTTGAGCAAGCGTTCGAAAAGACAGGTGATCAGCACACTGCGAAGGGGCCGGCTGACGGTTCTTTTCTGCTGGCTCTCTTTCCATGTTTGGCCCACCTGAAAGAGAAGCTGAAGTGTGCTGAGAGGACCTGGCTGGATGAAGAGGATCCGTGTAGTGTCCTGCCGCAGAACCTTGATAGCTGTCTCCTGGTGAAGGGCCAGGCGCGCAAGTGCCTTCATGGCTTGCTGCATGTCGCGATTCTGCCCCGCTTGGTTGGCCCTCCTTCCTCTTCTGTTGGGCTGCGAAGATTGTGAGGAGTGTAGAGGCTGGTGACCAGTTCCCTTGCCGTGCTCCAGCTTTGGCGTCTTTGCCTCCCTCATACTCTCGTCCGGGGACCCCCTTGCAACTGATGCTGCGTGCGCTTTCAGAAGAGGTCAAGAGACCTCCTGCATTTCGGTGTCCATGCCTCAGGTGTTCAAGATGGCAGCACACATAATTGCCGAAGAACTGTGCGTTTAGCTGGGTGTTGACGGGGTGCCTTGATGATCGTACCGCAGTGGACACATGGAGACCCCGGCGTCTTGAATCTCGAGCACAAATCGCTGGCAGGTTTCAAATGCATCTCATGCAGAGTTTTATATGTAAGTCTGTAATGCTGCTTCATTTTAACAGGGTCCGTGATCCACTGATGACAAATGGCACATTCGTGGGCGAGCACTTGCTACTGCTGCTACTACTACTGCTGCGGCTACGACTCCTGCTACTACTAGTACGACGACTACAACGACTACGACTACGAATACGACTGCGACGACGACGACGACGACGACGACTACTACTACTACTCCTCCCCCGTCGTCCTCCTCTTCCGACTACGACTACTACCACCGCCACCGCCACCGCCACCACCACCACCACCACCACCACCACCACCACCACCACCACCACCAACACTATCAACAGAATGGTGCCTACAAATACAGCAGCAGCCATGGAAGCCCAGCAGTGCGACAACATCAACAAACAATGAAAGAATCGTTTGTAGTGATGATTATCATGGAGGCGTTGATGTTGATGATGACAGTGAACATGGTTGTCTCAAGCATCCCAAAGCCCATATCGCCAAACCAGGATTCCAGCCCTCTAGAATCTCAGCTCCACACTTGCAGTTCCTAGACACAACACATCATCCACTACAAACCCCGAACCCAAAAAATCGAAGCCAAGAGTCTGTAAAGCCTTTCGACGCCAGGAGCTCGGTGCCCAACGTGGGGCCGAGGGCCTTCTGGTGAGGAAGGCTGAGGATTGTAGGACTCCAGGGTTGGCAAGCAGTGCTTTAGGTTCAAGAAATGGGTTCATTAAATGAATACTCCTTGATGGTGGAACTTCATAACACCAATACATGTCTTGCACGTCTTGAAGGAGCAGATTTGCCACTCAGGGCTGCGTCTTTCCTATCTTGGATACTACGTCCCTCCAGCAGTGTGTCCGGGGCTGCTTGGACGTCATCGAATACATGGTTCTGAAACTCAAGAAGCACGAAACTCACCAGTCTTCACCTGTCTTACATAACGAATTCATGAACACTTATCTAGATACAAAGCCAGACAAGCTGGAAGCCCGGCGTTCGCATCAACTCCAGGGCGACATGCTGTCGGCAACACCCTTGGTCATGTGAAACATTGTCGGCAGGAACAATAGACGGTCCGGTGATTCCTATAAAACGCAAACAAGCCAAAGCACCATGCCACAGCAAACAATACCAGCGCATCACTGTAATGCGTACTGGCCTACCGATCTTCAGCTTTAAAAAGGGGCTGATGCTGTTATCCTCAACACGGAAGCCCTAGGCCACCACCAAATATTCGACCCATGTGGCAAGTGAACAAATCCCAATCCTTGTCTTGAACCCTTCGCGCGCGGCTCTCGTCGAAATGTACAATAGGGTGAGCTAATGCTGTTGGAGTACTGGGGCAACAAGGGTTGAACTATTAGCCAGGTTGGGCAAAATTGTCCCAGCGCAGCATCTTGCTCTACAGCATGACGAACTGCCTAACCCAAATGCACACTGATGCAGGCGTGCGAAATTCCATGCCCCAACAGAGAAATTTGCACCACAGGCTCTAGAGTTTGAGAGTCCTTGGGCTCAGGACGTATGGAAGACCTTGCAGGATCCAGATTTTGTTGTGCTATATGTCACTACAAACATGCTGGATTTCGCAGGCAGGTACTAGACAGTGAGATACTGCTACAGCGGAAGTTGCCGAAACATTGGCAGTCCTACGATCTCCTCAATTTTTACAACTTCTTCAGTCAGGTTCTACAAGCCTTCACTAAGTCCCGCATTTGAAGCCTCACCCAGGGCAGCACTGGCGCAGAAGAGAGTGGACCTTGTGATCGTGCTTCAGTTACCAGACTAGTTATCCTTCTGGGCTCTCGTGGGGTGAGCTCATTCTTTCATGGGAGCGTCTTGTGAGCAGTCTCTTTCAAACCAGTATACAAATTGAGAGCATCAGAACAAACCGGGAGACCGGCTGCCATGATGCCAAACACTGCAGAACATTCAGGAGCACCCCTGAGTTACCACTTCCTACAGGTCCTGCAGGCCCTACAAGGTGGTTCTGACAGTATGTGGGACTCTTCATCCTCAGCAATCTTTCACCCGTGGCACAAGCTTAATGCCAGGTTGTGGCAGCAAGCTTCATTGAAAAAAGGTGACATGCAAGCCCCAAACATTTTCTCACGCTGGCGCAACGCTTCCGCCGTCTCCATCTGTCGGAGGCATCTCTGCTTCGATGCCCTGAAAGCGTCCATCCTTGCAAAACTTCGGAGCCATGAAGACTCCTCCTGGCATTCCTTGGTCTGAGGGGAAGTCATGGAGGAAACCCTCGGATAGTCACGACACTGGTATCTATCACAGCTTCACCATCGTGCATTTTGTGATGGGTTCTTCACAGAATGTGCGAATGGCAAAAGACAAAGTCTTGAAGCGTTGACCTTAAACCCTAAACCCTAGGCCCAGATTCTGTAACCACCATTCTCCGGCCTGCCACCTTTGCCGATCAGAAAAGCGCGCACTATGTCTGCACCCACCAGCCTTGGTCTCTTTGGAATGGAGGCACGAAGCAGGAAAACTAAGAGGTTTGTGCATTTTGTACGCAAGGGGCTTGGGTAGAGCACGAATGTGTCTGTCTTTACCCAACTCACAAAATTCCCAGAGTCTGCTCATTTGAGAAACCAAGTATGGCTCCTACTTCAAGCAAACTCAACCCCCACAAGCTAAAAGCTCATGAGGAAACCACAAGAATGAAACTGACGCCAAATACTTCGAACGAAGGAGAAAAAGCACATGCCCTTTCGGCCTGATTTGACCTCAATCTGCTTTGCCATGTCCCATATGACAGAGACACACCACCCGTATCACTCAATTCTACTAGGCTCCAATGGGAACACCATCATGATGTATAGTTAAGATTGACAAGCTCAGCTGACTCGATCAAACTCATGCATGAGCCATGCGTAAGCACGCAATAAAACCCGCAGCTCGATGACCCAAAAGCCCAAAGCTGCACACCTCAAGCCAGTGGGCTCTTGGGACAGCTTAAACTTAGCATAAACGAATAAGGTCCCCCATGACCTGCAAAACCTCAGCCCACTTCAGCTACAGTCTAAACTCCTGGCCTCCCCCTTAGTAGCCCCGATTCCTACTCCCCTCTAGTATCCCCTATATAACCCCCTTTGAGGAGTTTAGACTACAGCTCACTTGCTGCTCAGGTTCACCCAAGCCAGCTCGGCTGCTTGACAAATCGTCCGAGATAGTCGCGCCACGTCTCCTCAAGACAAGGTACGAAGTCCTTTAGCACTTAAGCTTAAGGCTAAGGGCTATAAGGTAGTTTGCATAAAAAGGGGTAGCCCAATATAGACCCCAGAATGCTATGGCCCTATTATTATGGGGACCCCCAAAAAAGGTACCCCTAATTTGGGGAAACACCGATTAAAGTTTTGAAGGCTTTAGGTTGTGGTTGTTTCAGGCCCGGGCTGAACAGCCACGGTATTATGGCGCTTTCCATGAGGTCAAAGGCGGGGCATGAGACTGTCCTCCTGCTGGTACTTGGAGTTTGGCGGGTTTTCAGTTCACATTCTTGTAAACCAAACTAATCCAAACCGTTCTAATCAAAGTCCTCTGTAAGAGACTTCTGCCCTGTACGGTCGTCACAATGTCAGGATGATTTTTTCGGGTATGCCAGAACACTAAACCATGCAAGGAAAAAGCACCATCCTCTGAAACTTTGCAACAAGTTTGGATTCCTTCGGACTTTCCATGGTGCCCCGCACGTTGGAAGTTTCCAGAAATACGACCCCAAAATAAAACCCCCTAAGTAATAGATTACTACAATCGCTAGTATATGTAGTCCAAAAAGGGGACTCCCAGTTTTTGTAACCCTCCACTGCAGAAAAGGAGAAGCCGACCTTCCATTCAGTCCAGGTGTTGGGTTTAGGATTCCAGTTTCGGGGCTTTGTGCGGGGTCATTATAGTAAGGGCTATAATTATAATACATTGGGTTCTGACTGCGCTTCCCCTGTTTACAGCAACTACCATATCAGAATTGTAAAGGAAGAATGTCGGGCAAATATTCAGGCAGTTACATCCTGCTCACATATCTACACTCCAATGTTGGTACATGGCGACTTGGGAAATGGTTTTGGCTTCGTAGAGCCCATTGCCCATGTCCGGCCCTGGGAGGGGGGCCACAATTTCTGAAAATCGGCGGCTGCGCAAAGATGGTAGCGGTACACCTGAACAAGCTCGCACGGCCTCGAGGTTCGGGTTGCCGCGCTGGGAAGTTCTCATCTGTGATGAGGACGTACATGCCTCTCACAAAACCCTCCACACAAAGCTTTCAGTGAAGGCTTCAGCTGCAGCAACTGTTTGATTTTGCTTTGCTCCAAGTTTTGCTTTGCTCTGAGCAGCGATAGCTGTTGACGGACTGGATCCTGTATACCTCAAGGTAAGACAATGCGAATTACTAATTACTAGGTCAAGACAATTGCAAGCCGTGAGGGGTGGCACAGCGAAACCGCCTGTGAGGCCGCTGGCCAGGTGCCCAGTGCATTCTACAGTCGCATGCGGACTCTGCGGTGACGCGTTTACCCAGTACAACCCTGTTCTGAAAAGGAAGGCCGGCCACACTAAAAGCCTGGTAGGCCTTCAACACGTACATGTGCTGCAAATTGGGGAAGCCTCATATATCAGGAGGTGGGTTATTTGCGGCCAAGTCACGGCCAAGCCCTTGGTTGATCTCGCCAGAGTAAAAAGCTTTAGCATGGCAGATGCCACTGGCAACCACTGCAAGCTGCTGACCATTCACGACTTCCAGGGGGAACTGGCCCTGTCCAAGCACACAACAAGAATCAGCAGGAATTCCGAAAGGAGGGTCCAGGGTCCTCTTGAAATTCAGCAGGCTGCATTGGGTACTACCAGGCAAGTTCAGGAAAACATGCCACAAACATGCAAAACCGCCAGGCCTCTTCGAATTCGGGCGGTTTCTGGGGCAAGTTCCAAAGAGCTCTCGCCGCCTTCGTGGAAGAGAGCAACTGTCTTTCTACTTGACTCTTCTCAGGGACACAAGGGCATCATCACAACGAAGCAAATATTCGGTCCCTGACTTCATGCTGGGTTCTCATGTCCAGAACTTGGGCTCATTGTTCAAAAGGGGTTTGAGCTGCCTTTATCGCAGGTATAGAATAGTAATGTACAGGCTTTCAAAGACACTGAAAGGATACTGTTCAGAATTTTGATCTAGCCTTCTGACATGATGCAGGTGAGTTTGCCCAATCAATCAATGGTTCGTTGGGAGGGAAGAGGACCCAGACATCGAGAGAAGAACACCTAAAAAGTGGTGCAGGAAGACATCCCATCATTAGCATTCAAGGGATTTGAAGAAGTACAGCTTGACCCTGCACCGTGCCGAACGAGACCTTTGGAAGGAAGGGATGGATGGACGTCAAAACACCGCCCCAGACAAGGGTCAAGGGAGCCCTCGCCGTGTCACAAGGCCCCTCAGCAACCCCCTTCTCTTCCCAGTGTAAGAGGCCTCAGTCAGATCATCGGCCACGCGCCTCAGGATTCAAGTTGATTTTTCAGGGGCTTTGAGGTTCTGTGGTGATGCTTAGTTTTTGGCCTGGGAAGTTTACGGCACCCCAAGGCTCATGATCTTACATTCAGGGATCAATAGTCGAAGTGCTGTTGACTTAGGCGGATAGCTGTCAGGCATCTGATCCGATCTTGCTCGAGGGACCTATACTTCAGGCCCGCGACAACGAGACCTTACTACTACTATTACTGTTATTACTATTATTACTATGAATACTAGTATCACGATTGTTACGATTATTAATGTCATCACTATTTTTACTATTATTACAAAGGCCCAAGCATCCAATACTTTGCGTTTACACACGCAAATGCCTGATCCGGATCCCATGCCCAGCAGGTATTTGGGAGAACCCTTGTCTGCACTCTCGTTGGAAACAGCCCAATCAGGCATGAATGCAAGAAGAAACAATGCCTTCCGAAACCCCTAAAGCCCCAACCCCTAAAGCCCTAAACCCCTAAACCCTAAACCCCTAAACCCTAAACCCCAAACCCGAAACCCCAAACCCGAAACCCCTAGAGCCTAAACCCCTAAACTCTAAACCCTGAACCCCAACTCGCAGGGCCCAGGGACTCGTTTGCCCATGACCATAGCCACGTACCACTCTGGAAGGACTCGGATCCCAGGATCTGGCATTCAAACGTCAGATCCTGAAGCGGTCTAGGTTGCTGGGTTTGAATTGTAAATGTATATATATATATGGGCTATATAAGGATAATGGAAAATAAAATGAAAGCTACTATAGTGGGGTTGTATCGGGTTTAGGGTTATATATATATAGAGGGATAAAGCAAAGAAAATGGAAGCCATTGTATTATGGGCTCACCCTCAAATACGAATCCTCCTCACCCGCAAGTCGCCTTAGTAGTAGCATTGTGCGGACTCTAAGAAAGCTCTCACGCAGGGCTCTTCATCTGCTAATGTTGGACCTGCTTTAGCACAGTGGGTCGGAACACTAAAATCATCGGGGAAATTATTCAAAATCTGGTACTGTCTGGGGGGGGGGGGTCGGAATTTAAGAAAATCAGGTGCGGTGCGAAAATGAAAAATGCAAGAACATCTTATCTAAGTCAGCTTGGCTTTCGAGGCCTTAAGGATTTCAATTCCAGAGCTCTAGCACCAGTGCCTTTACCTAAAAGGCCTGATATTAGTCAATCCGAAAATCCGTTAACTCAGAGACGCCAGCTCCAAATGCACTGGTTTTTCAAGATAATACAAAACCTACGAGCCGTCAA